AAACAAAGACGCAGAGGGTGCGAAACTAGTCGGCCGTCTGAAATTTCATTGTCCCTGATTGAGACAATTGGCGCGGCAGTACGCAGTCTATCTCAGTAAGAGTGGAAATTTAGTCACCTCCAGTAGCCAACCGTTGTTTAATCTCGTCACGCAATGCGCCCTTTCCACACTAGTCGATTGGGGAGAGAACGAATTGCGTGACGAGAACAACAACGGTAAAGGAGACTCCCAGTAGCGTCAGTAGCACTGTCCTTTGTATTTTCGTAGAATTTTGTAATACCACGAGCTATCATACTGTTTTCCTGTTGAACTCTGGAGCTATGAATAATGCAAACAAACAAAGAAAAGCCACCAGTTCAAAGTATGCTTTGTGATACGTGTAACTTGAGAGCCAATAGTTAGTGAGCATAGTTACTCTTGCCAAGGAATCATCTTTGAACATCGTTTAGAATTTAGCTTTTATGATTATGGCCGGCGCCAAATTTTGGCTTAAATTGGAATTTCCTAACTCGCCACGAAATAATTGCATTTCGACGTGTATCACCTGTTTGGGTTTCGCGCTAAATCTGTATGAGCCGGTTTGTATGTCTAAGAGAAACCTTGAATACAACAACAAAGTCGGGACGGTGAATTGTGAAGCGAACATATCCTCATAACCTCACGACTCTGGCTAAGTATTCTACTTCTTCAGCGATCTATACATTCAACCATGGAGCAAATCACTTTGAAACCGTTTGTTTACCACAACCGTGATAGTTTAGACGAAGCTTTCCAGTGCTTGGCTGAATTTCGTGACAACGGGCTTCTCTGTGATGTCCTATTATGCGTGGAAAATAGAGAAATTCCCGCTCATCGGGTGATCCTGGCGGCCTCCAGTCCGTATTTTAAAGCCATGTTTCTTGGAAATCTCTCGGAGAGCAAACAGCATCGTGTTGCGCTCTACGAGATCGACGCATCGGCGATCGAAATGCTGGTAGAGTTTATTTACACTGGTGTGTTAAAAATAGAAAAAAGTAACGTGCATTCACTTTTATATGCGTCAGCTGTTCTCCAGTTTGAGAAGGTTAGAAAAGCTTGCTGTGAATTTCTTCTCAGTGCCTTAAATATCTACAACTGCTTGGGTATTCGATCACTTGCAGAAACTCTCTCTTGTCACGAACTTTTTGCGACAGCTCATCAATTTGTTGTTGATCACTTTGGAGACGTGGCAAAACACGACGAGTTCCTGAAACAGCCCTTTGAATCCTTAAAGTGTTTGTTAGATAGCAGGTTTCTTAATGCGTCAAGCGAAGACGAAGTGTTCAGCGGTGTTTTGAAATGGCTTAACTTCTCTCCAGTAAAGCGCCGAACATTCGCCTCCTCACTCATTAATCAATGCTGTTTGATGAAGATTTCGCCTGACTTGCTAAGGCGAATCCTAAGAGATTCCATTGTGGAAGCCAGTTGTGAATGCCGGAAGCTTATTTTGAAAGCACTAGAGACTGTGCAGTCTTCAAATTTACAAGATGTTTATGAATTTCCAGGAATTTCACACCGTTCATTGCGAACTGGCCATGAAGTCATGCTGGCGATTGGAGGAGAATCAGACGGCATGACGTTAGACAGCTGTCAATGCTTCAATCCCAAGTGCAACAGCTGGACATGGGAAATCTCAGGGAGGTGTGGTGATCCCATGCCATTGGCAAACATTAATGATGGGCGCACTTTCATGGGCGTGACATCAAGTGGACACCATACCTATGTAGTTGGTGGCCATTCTTCCTGGAATATATTAGATTCAGTAGAACATTATGAATGGCCAGGAAATAAGTGGTGTCACTTATCACCACTGCACATGGAACGAATGGGAGCTAGTGCTGTCCTTCTAGATGCCCACCCTATCATTCTAGGAGGTTATAACAGAACATCAGGGTATCTGTCATCTGTCGAGATGTATGACCCTCTGATTGACAACTGGACATTGGTTTCATCAATGAGATCAAGAAGGAGTTATCTTGGTGCTGTGGCAATAGGAAAAACAGTGTATGCCATTGGAGGATTTGGTGGAGAGTGTGGAAATCTCTCAAATGATTGGTTAATGTCAGTTGAGAAATTGGACTCTCAGAGTGGAGAATGGCTGTCTGTAACAATCATGTCACAACCAAGAGCTTATTTTGGTGCAGTCCAGAAGGAAGGTATGGTGTAATAAGTAGATGTATTTCAATGCTGTCTTCTATGATTTCTCGTTTCATCAAAATCATTACAATTTCCTCAAACGTGATTGGTGCATTAGCTGCTTTATTTTTCACTAATCATTCTGTAGAGCTGTAATTGGACAGTTGGCTGTAATCGGACACCTATAATTGGACAGTTGAAGTGGCCAATCTTTCTAAGTCCACTCAACCAAATCCACCAGTCACAGAATTAATCACAATAACCATACCAACAACCATTTATCCTAAAAAATTGAGGAATTTCCAGAATGGAGAATATTTTTACTTAAGATATTGTCTTTACCAAAGATATTTGACCTAAATGTATTTGTTGTTTTTGGAAATTGTAGCAGTTTTGATTTATTGGTAACAGGACTTCTTGTTGTCCAATTCTGTCTGTAATCATATTCGTGATTGACAAATTGGACTCCCGCTTCGCAGTTGTCCCATTTTGTTAATCACTTGTATGATTACAGTCTAAATTGGACTCCACTTGTTCCTATTACCAGTATAAAAAATTATCTAATACTTGGCAAGAAGGTCGATAATGCCTTTCAATTTTGTTTTTAATTTACTATTTGCCACATTTCTTTTTTTATCCTGATACTTAAAAAAAGGGGCAAAATATGAAAGCAAGAGTGCAATCTCACATCAACCAACAAAATCCTAAACCTAGAGGAGGACAACATCCCATGGTATATTTAGGCATGGGCCAATAAACAAAACCCCTTACCCACTCCTCTGACTTCACCTTGTATACATGCTTACCTACCCACTCTAAATATACCTTGCTTGCATATGATTCTATTTAGTACACTGTATCTGTATTGTAGATTAACATTTATTTCCCTGAACATGTAAATGGATCCAGAGTTGTTCACAAGCAGTAATGACAATTCTAATGATGTTTTTTTCAGGTGTGGTGTATGTGATTGGAGGTTACAACCAGTCATGGTTAAATACAGCTGAAAGGTTTGATCCACGAGAAGGGAGATGGTACAATATTCCAGCCATGAAATCACCCAGAAGTAGTGCAGGTGCAAGTGTATTGGGAAATAATCTGTATATTGCTGGGGGATTTAATGGAGTGAGAAATTTGAATACAGTTGAGTGTTTTGACACAAGGGCTGGAAAATGGATGGATGCACCTTCAATGCAAAATACTAGGTATGGAATGGCACTAACTACTTTACAGATATGAACTCTTTTCAAAAATCGTAATCTGTAAGGAAATCACTTTTACTGTAATTCAAGAGACCTTCTGTTTGAGCAAACTAAATTGTAAAATATATGTCTGTAATGCTGTAAATATATGTCTGTTATGCTGTAACAACCATCGGAGTATTTGTCTCAAAGATCTAGATGTGAAAGTAAAATTAGAAACTGAGGCCTAATATTCTTTTGTTTTTACATACTTTCCTTTTAAACAAATTGAAAATATAATTTTTAGAGAAGTTTTGAAATGTTTTGGGTTGAATTTGTAACATATTTCTAAGGAAATGAGAGAATCCATTCTATTTGGTGATGTGAATTTAGCTATATTTCTTAGATTTCGGAGGCAGGGTTTATTCTAGAGCATGACTTTTCAGGATTTTTGCAATTTGAAAAGAAATGCAGCATAAAATTTATGACATAACTTCAAGTGGGGCGCAGAAAAATTTGCACTTGGATAAGTACTATTTTAATACTGTATTTTTTAAATCATGTTTTCCAAATATAATTGACAACAAAATTGATATGAGAGCTGCTGTATACAGTAGTCTCTTACTGTCTCAGTTCCCTTTATTTTCTTTGTTGTATCACTGAGTATACTCCACAAGAATGATGAAACACTTTTTGGGTCACCCTTTCTAGAAATTGGGCCCCTTGGAATTAAAGAATGGGACTAACTAGGCCATCTTTGACTAATTTCAAAAGTAAACACTCGATGTGAAATTGCATAATTTTGTTGACTATGGATATACAGAATCAAAGATTGGTCTCCATTCATAGAAAGATAAAATTGAGATAAGGTATATGTATATATTTTGTTTTGTTGGGAAATGATAATACAAAGTTAACAATCTGCTGCACTGGTTCATAGAGTTATTGTAAACATCAAATACATTTTTTTCTGTAGATATTCTTTTTTAAGGTATTTTATTGAAACAACATAATTATTAAGTATTTGAACCATAGTTTGTTTGTCCTCCTAAAATGTAACACAATACCAAGTTTCTAAATCAAAATAAAGAATCTTAATAACTATCCCTGAATTTGTGATTTTTTTGCCTACAATTATTTACCATTATATTTTTACTGGATATATTTTTTTGGCTTGAGCAGCAAAAGAATGCCATATTGGCAAACTAGATAATTGCTCTTGCTACTATAGCATTGCAGATTACTGTCTCTTATACCAAAACAAAAAAGAAGCTAAAACCTAAAATTCGGAAAAACCCTGTTTAACCCTTTCACTCCCACAAGTGACCAAGACAGAATTTCTCCTTACAGTGTCAATACAATATCAAGCAGGCAGGTGATGAGAATAGAGGAGAATATCAATCATTGGATTATTAGTTGATCCAATACCAAATTCTCTGAACTAACATCATAAGAATTGTATGGCAGATAGTAAGGAGAATTACTAATTAGATCTTGGGAGTGAAAGGGTTAAAAACTACAGAATATCCTGATATGAAAACATTTAAATTATATCAATTTCAAGCCTCTTGGTGCAGAATGTATCTTATTACTGCACCTTTAAAATTTACATGCAAACTACAGAGATGATGATCCAACCCAACTAAAAAGCATATTTTTCTTTCATTAACCTCACATTCACCCATTCATAGTTGAAATGTCTCTAAGACTCTTATTATTCACCAAATAATCTACTGCTACTTCAAATATAAATATACAAAACAAATTTATCCATGCATAAACAAAATGCCAGTCATGCAAGTATCAGACTGAGTTTAAAGAGAAAAACTGTCTTTGTCTCTATACACTAGTTATTAATTAAAAATAGGAAAGTAGGGATTTAACATTTTTCTCACTTTTGGCTGTTTAGTGCTGTCATTTATACAGTTCTTGTAAAGTGACACAAATAAAAATAACTGATCCTTCAGTTCTTACAGTTCTTGTAAAGTGACATAAATAAAAATAAAAATAAACAGATCCTTAAATAACTGATCCTTCAAACAGGCAAAATACAGTAGGACAAAATTTTTTTCTTTGATTACTTTTGCAGAATTTTTCTTTTGGTCCCTTCAAATAATCTTAATCAACCAGGCAAACACAGATCAGAGAATTTGCCTCCCAAGTCTTTCCTTTCTAGAAGTTGTGATGGGATCTTAGGAAAGGCAAGCTACATGTAGCCCAGCTGACAAGATCTTAATTTTTGTAACAGCATCTCTTTTACCAAGCTAGAAATTCCCTAGCTAATTAGAACAACCTTGTTGCTGGGCTCAAATGAAGAGGCCTGTACAAAGATTATTAGCCTATAAGGATCACCTCTCTCCAAGCTTAGTCTGTTGAGCAAGAAGAAAGAGATGAGGGTGCTGCATGAAAAGTTGGGGCAAGAGTAACATATTAGTGCTTTTCTTGTGGGTTTACATGTATTGTGTTTTTTGGTTCCCTCAAGCGACTAAGCTCACAAAGAGGCACACCTCACAGTCCAGTGTAAGAAATAATTCACCATCATCTGTATGACAGAATCTGGACACAGTGGCCATAATATGATGATACAGCTAACTTCTTTCCTTTCAGTAGATCAATTCCGACAGGTGTCTTCTTTGTTTCAAAATTTACAACATACGTACCATCCAGTTTAAATACATGGACACAGTTGTTTTCACTGTCACAGACCAGAATGCAATCATTTGCTCTATCCACTGCAATTCCTCTTGGGCACCTAAATTCACCAGTTCCAGGTCCAACCCTTCCAAACTGTCGAACATAAACACCATTGCGATCAAATACTTTTACACAGTTGTTACCTTTATCCGATGTGTAGAACTCTTCCTTGTGGTAGACAGTGCCCAACGGCGTGTCAAAGCCTTCAGGGCCATGCCCACCAAACTGATGAACAAATGTTCCATCCAGCAAAAATATCTGAACACGATTGTTCTCTGTATCTGTGACAATCACATTGTCATTTTCATCAACTGCAATACCCTCTGCCCATCCAAATTCTCCCTGATTGAAGCCTTTCTTGCCAAAAGTTGCAAGGAAATGGCCACTTTTGTCAAACACTTGTACTCTAAAATTCCTGCTGTCCATAACAAGGATTTTGTTACTTCTGGTGTATGCTATCCCAGTTGGACCCAAAAATTGACCCTCGCCATCCCCTTTTTTGCCAAATGTGAACAAGAACTTTCCTGTTTCATCAAATACTTCCACTCTGTTGTTAAAATAATCAGCCACAGCCAGTTCTCCATGTGCATTTGAAGCAATGCCCCCAGGATTTTTGAACTTACCCCTCCTGGAACCCTTCCGTCCAATTTTCTTAATGACCTTACCGATAGAGCTGATGTCAGAGACACCTAAGGGGCTGGTAGGAATTTTATCACTCATTTTTCTCCGCACCACACCAATGCATTGTTTTTCGAGGTTGATTTGTAACTCGTGGTTTGGGTGAAACTCTAGCTGCTCCTTACATTTCTGTTTAAGCTCTCCAGCATCTTCAAAATTCATCTGGCTTACTTCTTTCAGTTGTTGGGTGAGGACATCTGCCATCTCAGTCAATTCGTCAACATCTCCTTTCAGAAGAATTCCTTCAGCTGTCTCAAGACAAGCGGAAGAACTTGCTAGTAAACTGCTCAAGTTCTGTCTCTGATTCTGTAGCATCTTGTGCTTCTTCCCGTAAAAATCTTCAATATCCTCGCAAAGACTGCTCTCCTGGTTTCGAACCATCTCTACCACAATGTTGGCGGTTAAATGAATATCTTCTTTGGCTTTCTTCCAATCAGTTTCTAAGATATCTAAAGCTTGGTCTAGAATTGTTATCCTTGTCTGCATTTCGTTGATTACGGGCTTGCTATTGTCCACGGATCTCTGAATTTCCAATCGTTGTTGTCTGCCTGGAGTTATCTCCAAGAATTTTAGTAGGACATTGTTTGTTGGAAGATCATTTACACCTCCGGGAGGAACTTGTGAAACTCTCCTACATGTCGGGCAACGGATAATTTCAGGATTCATACGAGCCATGTTCTCCAGGCAAGCTTTGCAGACATTATGAGCACAGCTAGGAAGACATTTTGGTTCTTTGAGTTCTTCCAGACAAACAGGACAAGACAATTCTTCATTGAAGACTCGAGTGAGACGTGCTGAAACACTAGTTGCCGACGCAGCCGCTGCCATTTTGACAAAGTCCTTCCTTGAGTTAAAACAAGAGAGCACAAAGAAGAATTATGATCACGGCTGATGAAAAACTGGCGATTTCGATTGAGCTTGCCAGCATTATCAAAAGGTCACTTATGCCACAACTGATCTACATCACTCAACGACACTCAGCAGATGTAACGGAAGCCGGTATAATCTTATGATGGAGGAGGAATGAGTTCTAGTTGTAGGAACGCCTGGTCGAAAATGGGAACAGGGATCCCAAGCTACCAAAACTACCAAACTACCAAACTACCAAACTACCAAGCTACCAAGCTACCAAACTACCAAACTACCAAGCTACCAAACTACCAAACTACGCTAATGCAAGAAGTAAACCTGCTAAGTCGTTTACTGATTTCGAGGTTTGCTTTCTCCTAAAATGATTAGGTGCTGAGAGGATCGTTAGCTACTAAAACGAAAAGTCCTATTAATGGGCAGAAATCGGTGGACACATGTCGTAATGTACTGTTGCTGATTTATTTTTATTTATAATCAAGCTTATGAATCTACCATCAACATTGATTTTTAAGGCACGATTCCAGTCAAAGGCAAGTCAGAGTGGAGCTTCTTATTCCAAACGTTGAAGCTTTCGCCTGTAAGCTACGCAGATATCTGTAACATGCACTTCAAAAAAAAAAACAAAACAAAACGAAACAAAATATAGATTCTGCAACTGATTTTCAAGTTTGATATTCGGTTAGTAAGCATCTAAATTAATAAAAACTTACAGTATTTTGACTTGTTTATTTTTGTATTCCCGTGTTTTACTCGGTCGGAGCTTTTGTATTCATGCGCCATATTTTCGATTTTACTGGGAACCGAGGTCCAACAAATGAAATGTGTTTTATTCTTACACGATACAGTTACGACGACTCTTTCGACCATCTGGAACAACAACGAAAAAAGAGCATGGCAAACAAGTCCGTAACAGTTAATAAATTGAATATAAATAAAACCCCGGTGACCCTACCCTTGAGACTGATAAGTTGTGCTCTTGAGCAAATATTTTAGTCCATCAGATTTCTAGTGTGTATCTCCTTAAAGGAATTGATCCTACATATCAGTTATAAACCATAACTTCTTTCTCGCTTTTCCAGCTTGACCTGCACGTAATCATGTACATAACTGCAATGTATAGCGGTGGATGTTACACGCATTATATGCAAAAACATCCTTGTTCACCGTCGTGAAACGAACTCGGTATTTACTACTATAGATTCCCACAAAATTTTAATACAATGTTAGAAGAAGACAGTTCTTGTAGAGTGAAATAATCTACTCCGATTGTACAGAAGTAAATTGGTGTTCAATTTTCCACAAATCATGTTGTCTTTACAGTTTTTACTCTGTTCTCTGAGAGAGATTATATTTCTTTCCCGGTTCTTCCTTTGCACAGCTGCGTTTCACGTCGAGAGTTGCTCAGTTTTCACAGCTAAGATCAACTTTTCATTAACCCTATCACCCGTGCGCCACTCACAAGTTGGGACAGAAAATGCTATTTGTTTGCATGCTGTCAGTCAGTTAACTTTCCCTGGTCAGTAAGTTTACTTTTGATTGGCAAAAATCAAACCGTAATAACCTCCGTTCAGTTGCGCTACAAGGCTCCGGGATAATAATTGAACGAGGATTCTTTTCCTCTTTTGTATCATTGCGAAGCACAATGAATGTTTAATTCGTATCTTTGATTGAAGTCCCTCGTTCAAACTTTGCCACTTGTTATAAATCCTGTATTCTAGTTTTAAATTTTCCTAAACGAAATAAGAAAATAAAAGATTAGCAGCTCCAGTTTTTCTAAGTATGGAAATTTATCCAAATTTAATTAATAAACCATGAAGCTGGCATAAATGTTGACTCTGAGAATGACTTTTCTTTTAGGAGCATGATTTGCCATAGAAAGAGCTGAGTGCCATTCACTGACAGTCGTCTTCCGATGACTGAGATTAATGAATAATTAAAAAATATTCGCTGGATTGTTTTACTTTCCTCTTCACAAGCAGCTGGCCATAATTTGTTTGTCCCATCAACCGAGGCTCATTTTGTCCTATTTGTGACGACCCGGCTTGCAGGATCGCAGGCTTAAATTTAAGTACTCACCCACTTTTGGGAAAAATATTGTCATTTTCACAGAGGAAGGCTTTTCTATAAATTTACAAGTCGTCTAGCTGGCTGAGAAGCGAGGAGATGGTTAGAAAGGAGAGAGTTAGGCCGTTTTGCCAAGCGCTCTTAAAGGTAACGCTAAATCGCTCAATTACATCAACGATCGATATTTCACTTCTGAAATATATCCTTTTATTTAGCTTTGTTTTTACGATTTTTTATTCTCTACTTCTCTTACAGCTTCAAGGAGTTCTCCTTTTGCTGTATTTGAGAACAGGTACGGCTATTATTATGCAGAACAGAGTATTTTTCAGAACGCACAAACTCATTTTTGACGACCGCAAGCAGCGACTTATTTGAAAAATTTCGTCAGCAAGCAGAAGCGTTTCGTTCGGAAAGGAAGGCTGCAAATCGTATAAATAGAGCAAAATTATACTCTGTGTTTTAGCCGCAGATAACTTTGGTTTTTATCTTTAATTTCCACTTTTAGCATCCGATGATATAAATTGTATTAGCCAGCAGGGCTTTCATATTAACTATACCGTGAAGGCGGCAAGCAGCTTAATTTCGTTCACTTTTATTCAATGTGAGCGAACTAGCTGTGACAGGAGGTGGGATTCATATCTTAAAGATTAGCTTTTTCCCCATTTTCGCTCTTTTGCAGAGTTAATTTTGACCAGAAATTATTGCAATTTAAGTCACCAGTGAAATTTCAGCTAGGGATGAAATGTAACATTATTGGGAGAATAACCCGGCAAAAGCGTGTATGATATACATTAATTTAGATGAAGGAACTGCTCAGCGCACCAGAATTCTACGCCTGTGAAACGCTCCTTTCATAAAGTCTTATCGACTCTTTCAATTTATTCATAGAACAGTCGAAATGCCTTCTGTGTTGATGTTCTTAAAAGTCAAATCACCGTAGCACCGAAATAAGCGAAATGTCGCCTGCAGTTGAATTTTGTCTACTGCCCTAAATTCTCGAAAGAAACACAATCAAATACATATGTTTCCCCTTTTTTTACTTGAATCTTTTCGCTTTCCGAAATTTTAAAGGTTCAATATGTTGTCACGCGATATCTCATGCAAGATTTAGTTCAAGAGCCTGTAACAAATGTCGCTAGGAAATTTGGCGCTGTCCAACATCGAAAACTCGAAGTGACGGTAAATCTTCTCTATTGATTCACCTTGAGCTGAAAGAAATATGCGTATTTCCTAAAGTTTCCGATCGTTTTAATCATAGAAATATATGAGACTATTTTTCCAAAACCCTATACAAATTCTCTTTCTCTTGGATAGTATCAGAGCGCCTTAAACTCAGTACAAAAACAGCTTTCCGATATTTCTGATAATCTTCATAAATGAATTTAAAATGTTGAACCTGATCGTGACAAATAAACGGGCCTCGGTTTTACAAGAACAATATGTTTTTGGAAAATGGTAGAGACATATACCGGTGTCATTTAAGTTTAAAATCTGCTCTCTGAGATAGAAGAAGACGCCGAGAGGTGATTGTTTGAGCTAAAATCAGGAACGAAATAAAAGAAAATATATTGCTTACTTTAAAATGCAAATTAATATAGTCAGCTATATAATTATATTTTTTTTCGATTTCTCCTCAGTTTCTTTAAAGTTTATGAATTCGTCGATTGAGAAATAATTAGATAGTAGAGGAGACTTAGGATACTTGTGAGCGAAATCTACCCAAAACTATTACTGAGTCAACGCTTCTCGCCTAAAAGTTAAGTAGTGCGGATGTATATTGCTTGATTTGAAAAGTGATGAATATCCATATTTGCAAAATTTGAACAAGATGAATTCATTTTAACTGCTTCGATGCGGCGTGCAACTGTCTATTTTGAATTCACGTCAGCATTCAATTTTAATTGCTATGTTTTGGAGCAGCTATCTACCACCAATTGGAGATAACCAAAATAAATTTGCCGGAATGGTGCAGTCTTCGTTTTGTTGCCTTAAGTTTATAATATGCATGTTTGTCAATCATAGTGCTCATATGACACGCTACCCTAAGTGTATTTGACTCGACTTATGAAGCGGAGGGAGGAGATTTTCCGTCTGATCTTCTCTACACTGATGGAAAATTTGGACTGTGACTAGTTTAACTGGGGTCGAAAAGATATATTACACTGACTTATCGATCATATTCCAAATTTCGCTCCCCAGTTTTACTATAGTCTCATTTTTACGATCACTGCTAAGTGAGTTCAGCTTTGAGACGGGTAAGGATATTTTAGGCTTTGACTTCCAGTGAACGTAAAAGAAAAAATAAGCGTCTTTAATCGCACGAACTGAGCCAGGCAGCTGTTCTAAAAAGAAAATCATGGACAGTAAATTGCTTGTAATTCTTTTGCCATCATCTACGTATGTGAACTTGACACTTTTGAATGACTAAAGAAAACAACAGCGACAACAAAAAAATGTTTGTCGGCTACCGTTGACACATGAATATCTTCTTGTGACACAATTTCAAAGATCTTTGACGTGAAAATGACCGGACTTGAAACGAAATTAGTATATTCAAAGTAATATACTATAATTTGCTTGCTGGTGATCGCTGGCAGAAGTTGTGCAAAGTGTTACATTTAGCAAACTTTTGCTTCTTTTTCCCTCCGGTGGCTTCACTTTAATTTGGCACCCAATGCGGTATTTTAATTAAATGGTTGTTGTCTTTTTTTTCGGTGAAGCTACGTTTTATTGGCTGCCTTGACGAGGTAGCCTCTTTTAAGCAAATAAAATTGAAGTGGAAAATTAAAGCAGATAAAAACAGTATGAAATCAAGGAACTCTCGAGAAAAAGGCAAGTTTGAGTTCTCTGAAGAAAAGTCAAGGGAATTCTGTAAACGTAGTGACAAGCCTTTTCGCTCGCTGTCCAATGATAAATCCAGCCATTGTCCATGCTGACACCCGGTATCTGTCTGTGCGTTAATTTTGCTGCCATGTCTCTATAAAGTGTTGATAGCGCGAGGCATGGGAGGAGCAATGGGATCTGTTAATGAAAAATAATGACTCAAAACTTTTATTGTTGCGCAAGAGCTGTCATCGTCTAAACAGTGCAGTGGGCTTAAAAACACGTTTTAGATCTGGAGCGTACGAGCGAACATAGTCTCCTGGGACAATTATGAGTCGGTAGACTCATTCGTGCATTAAATCATGTCACTCTGACTAAATGAAAACTCACCGGTGTAAATGAAAAATATCACCAATACTAATTTATGATACGTAAAAGGGAACATTTTCGACTACTAATTTGAATTTGGGCGGAAAACAACAAAGCTTGAGTTCTTTATGGGGCAGTTTCGAGCACTGTAAAGTGACGATCAGTCAGGGCACAGGTAGCCCAAACTCCAGCAGTGAGATGATCTTCTTGCGAAGTAGGAGTCATGGCGAAATTTTAAGAGTTTGTCGGCGAATATTTACGACCGCTCTAAGGAATAAAAAAATACAGTCAAATTCTCAATAAAAATACCTCACCTTACTTTCACAGTGCATTGCTTATTATCTGAACGCTTACTATGTTGAAAAGAACCCATATTAGCGAGTTATCCATTTCTAGGGCTTCTCTTATGTGGTAAACCTAGAAATGGATAACTCGCAAGAATTGCACTATGAAAGAAAGGTGAGGTATTTTTATTGAAAATTTGACTGTATTTTTTTATTCCTAAAAGCGGTCGTAACTATTCACATTCAAACTCCCATAATTTCGCCATGAGTGTTACTTCGCAGGATGATCATCTCACGGCAGAAACTTGGGCTGCCTGTGGTCAGGGTTGAATAAAATATCAAAGAAAAGCGTAAACGTGAAAATTAAAAGAAAATGGAACCTTTTTCCCGAAAACTATTAAACACGAAATACTGCAATATTCAAAAAAATAAAATTGGTTGTTCCATTGCACACCTTATTTTGTCGGGAAAATTTCCGACAAAGGAAACAGATCACATACCTATTGCCCTCGATGAAGTCAAAAATGCAGGATTGCCGGACATCTTTGAAAACACCGTCTTGGAACTTCAATGTCGAAGAATACCGAAGAACTGATCAGGGAAATCTTATTTATATGTGTTTATTTAAGAGAATCGCGAAAGAGGAACTGGTTATTTTTTAATTTCTGTAACTTTTTGATGTTTTTAAACCGGATTAAAACCATCAGTTGTAACTAGACACAGAATGAAACCATGTTTTCTAGTAACCATTTTTAGCAGCTCTGTTATCGGGTAATTTTGTTCAGTAGTAGTAACTTTATGACGTGATGTAATTATACGTGAGTAAGAACATTGAGAAGTTTATAATTTCGTGATCAGCATACGCTGTCAAACGATGCCTTGCCAACCAGCCTTGCCAATACTTATTTGTTGTTGCCTAAGTACAAACTGTTATTCAAGTGTGCGTAGAGCATGAAAACAAACAACAATAATCTAAGCTGGCAGCGTCACTGTTGGTGTAAATATCCCCTCGATTGTTTGTCTTAATGCAATAATTTCCCCATATTATAACTCTGTATTTAAAGCTGTTTTCGAATGCGATAAGGTTTCAATGCAGTAAGTAAAAATATATCGAATGTTTTTTTTCGAAAAATTTTATCGTGAGGTCTTATTAAGTTTTTTATCGCATGTCACTCACTTTTGATTCTTTTATTATTTTGCTGGCATTCTCAGTGAAAATACGAAATATCGCCAGCTGAATGCGTGATTTTAATGAAATGAATTTTTTTGCGAAATTTTTTGCTTTGAATTAGGCAACATCAGAATGAACGATATGTTGTGCTGTTCAAGCGAATAGCCGTCCTCTGCTCAGTTTAAACTTTTTCGCGTTGTTTTAAAGATGTTTAATCGAAGCACGTTCAGTACGTGCTCAGATACCTAATACTCCTGTCACAAATCCATTACCTTTGTCAATAATTTGCGAACACCTGTCATGACTTGACAAATTGTATTATAGAAAAGCCGAATTTACACGGAAAGCGTACTCCGACATCCGTCAGAAGGAGGTCATCACGGGTAGATTTCCG